CTTTACATAGACAGATGCATCTCGACGCGTTGAATCTAAAGGTGTATGATTTGTTCAGAAAAAGTTACTTTTTGACGTGGAAGAAAAGATTTTTTCACCTATCGAAATAAATCTCGATTTTCACCCGATACAGTTCTAGTTAGATGATAGAAAATACATTTTCTAAGTCAGTTTTTCACGTCGATTAAGAAAACAAAACTTTCGAAACTTTAGCGCTCATCATTTAAAAATTGTAGGCTCGTTTCTCTAAAACTGGCAGTTTTTCGACTCGCCAATTTTTTCTTAGCTTTTTTTACTGTTTCACCTTCAAAAATATTTTTTTCTGGACAAATCTCAGTACATCGGGATCCATCTGTCTATGCAAAATAATTGAAGAAATAAAAACCGCTGAAATTTTGAATTACCGCAACCTTATGAGACTTCTTAAACATTTCGAACGTTTATACTCTAAAACAGCATGACAAAACTCTGATAGGCTAGGGTTACTTATTGAAAATTTTTATTTGAGTTCTTGCTTTCATTTTAAGCACTGATTTCTTTTCAGGTGGAGAAAAACTCACTGGTTTTTACCATAGAGGACACTCAAAGTGAAAGCAGTTTTTCGGAAAAATAGTAAAAGATCTTGGATGTTTATTTTTCTGTCGTTTTACTCCTTACATCCAGTGTCTTAACATCACATATGCTTATATGGACAAGGTTTATTCCTGTACATTCAATTTCATCTCTGGTTCTGTTCTACCTTCAGAAACAACTAGTCTACAAACTGGTCATTATTGTCTATTTCGGATTTAGATCGACTATACATTTGCTTGTATCAATTATTGTCTAATGTCATGGGCATCGATAAAACGCCATTTATTTGTATTTCATAATTCTCTCACCATCCGTTATCGTTTATATCTTCATTATCTATCATTGTTCTTATGTGCCATTTATCCAATCATATTTAATTCTTATAATATTTTCTTCTATCCATGTCAAAGTGGATTTATATTCGATGAAATCGTTCATTTTCAATCTTGTTATTTGATTGTAAGCAGTAAATTGGCATCATTCGATTGGTTAATGAATGTCTTTGTATCTTGTATGACTATTATATTGTCAAATATTTGTTTATTGATACGTGTTTAAGCACAAAAAAATGAGAATAAACGTCAAATAACATGGCAATAATATCGTAAAATGACCATTCAGCCGTCGTCATTTGCTCTCATTTATCTTGTTATTCATCATATTGAAAATTACCGATTGTATATGCAGCAAAATTACCGATTGTAAAGCTGCTTAGCTGAGCAAATCCTGCACAGATCAGCTGTTGATATATCATGGTTTAATACTTATTAAAAGTTAAGTTAAAGTTAAATTGTCGACAATTGAAAAAATTAGGCTGAAAAACTACTTAGGGCATACCAAAAGTTCGTAGGGTGATACCTTAATACCTTATGATAAGCGTTAAGTAATTTTCTTTCTATATGGTTTGATAGAGAAAAGAATGCTCTATTTTTCTACGCTATTTGATCATACTTCAACTAATTTCATAATGATAAATATTCGATAAGATCTATTTCGTTTGCATACATGCTGGTTGTATTAATATTAATTGTAAAAAATATGAGTGAGTAGTTTTTGGATAACTTTTTTGTTAGAAACAAAATAGAGAATTGCAGTTTTCACCGTTGGAAAGAGAGAGGAGATGAAGACACATCGAATCGTATATTCCAGGATTTCCTGATTTGTTTTTTGTAAGGTTTTCCATTGACTTTTTTAAGAACAAACAAATCTGGTAAGTTATTTACAGTGAATTTGAATTATCAAGTATAAATTCAAACCATGAATCGAAGATCTACAAAGTGCGAAAGGCTGAGATGAATAATATGTGTTCTATTCGAGCCTCTAGTACCATTTCCTAGCGAAATCTATAAAAACCATCACTATTTTTTGCTTTTTCGTTTTTTCATAACAAAACAATTTTTGCAACAGAAAATTGAATAAAAAAAACATAAGAAATCATATTATAAAGACCTATAATATACTGTTCGATGCGTCTTTATCTACTCTTTCCAGTAGTGAAAATCGCAGCTCTCTATCTCGTTTTTATCAAAAGTTATTCAAAAAATACTCATCAGTATTCATATTACCAGCACGTATGCAAACGAAACAGATCTTATCGAATATTTATTATTATGATATTAGTTGACGTATGATCAAATAGCATAGAAAAATAAAACATTCTTTTCTCTATCAAACCAAGTAGAAAGAAAATTACTTAAAGCTTATCATAAGGTATTAAGGTATCACCCTACGAACTTTTGGTATGCCCTAAGTATCTTTACACTTTAAGAAATTTGAAATCGACCGACGTCATCGCCGACGATAGATGAGTCCTATAACAAATAAGTTTTCGCCTTCAGCGATAGGGATGTTGTAATTCTCCTTTGACTTTTTTTCTGAATTGAACAAAGAATGCAGTTTATTTCTATAGACGTTGCCATAGCTACCAGTGAACATATTCCGTCAGTTTATAGGTATTCATATTTTTCACTTGTTCGACACATAAATTTTTCGTCCATCTGAATGACGAGTGATCTATATAAAAATTTATATATTCAGAAAAGTTGTACGAAATATAGTTTATATCTAGAAATGTACTGTATTTCTCTATACAGATGAATGAACTACATACATGCCCTTTTTCATTCAGCGTATTTAAAATATTCTTACAATAACACCAAGGAAAAACCATTCACTATCTCAAAAAAGTGAATATATTACTAATTCGAACAAATGATCGATTTCAAACATCTATTTTTACCTTTCATATTATCGATGTTCATAGCACTATTTATTAAGTTCACTTTAAATGATACTCCTGCAAAAGCCACAGTTTGTTATTATGTAAACTGTACAGTTAGAGCAGTCGGTACGTAATGTCACCACTTACAAGCAACTAAAATATCAATATGTATGAAAACTTTGTATTTTACTGCAAATAACGAGAACTGATGTGCTATACATTGACCAATTAACTCATGAAGATACTCTTCACGATATGGTTCGGTTTCTTTGTGGTCTGAATCGAGACTCGGTTGGATTCGAAAATTTTTGTAACTGCATTCGCACTAATTATTAGGACTTGGCTTTCACTTAATATTTTCATCAATAGAAGAGTAAATTCTCTCTAAGAAATAATGTACTTTAAGACATCTTCGACTTTAGGTACCAGAAAAGCTTAAGAAACGTAGTAAAATTATGTATTCGGTTGTCAGGTACGCCCTATTATTGGTTATGCGGGCAATGAATTTTTCGTTTTATGATCATAAAAGGTGACAACCGAATAAGGAGAAAGCAAAGCACGGAAGAAGAAAAATGAACTTGAATTGAATCTTAGCCACTTTTGTACGAAGAAAAGGTGTTTTATTTTAGTAAAGAAGGTTCCTGTATGTCAATATTCCTTTGTCGATTAATAGAATATAGTCAATCCTAAAAGAATTTCTGTTATTACTATTGCCTTTTTACAGTTATGGTTTTTTGATTTTTCAAACACAGTGTGCAAATTTTCTGTCGTCTTCTAAAACCTGTAAGATATGCACAGAGGAAACCAGTATAAATGGGAACGAGTTTCCAGATATTTTTCGGCTACAGGAAAATACACTTACAACTAAGACCAGATTTAAATTTTTATTTAGTAAAGGATACTACTGAACGTTGTATTTTGAAATGTACAAAAAAATCACAAAACTTATCAGCTTCATTACTTAACACAAGAGTTCTTTTTCGACTTCTTAAATATCGAATTAAAACAAATTATTTTCCATGATTCACATTATAATAAACTACAACACCAACTGCCACGGGTATTGTAGATGCTGGAAAACTGAATTGTCCTCCTGGCCATACATAAATTACAAAAAAAACCCATTAAGTATCAACATACTAAATAACATTGCTAAATAACATTCAACTAATAGATAAAAGTTGTTTTGAGTAGATACTTTAAACATGAAATAATTGCAGAATATAAAATCACCAATACCAAGCATATAACCGTTCTCACCATAGAGATATACCATACCGATAAATAACGATCGTTTTACATCGTCACAATCCAAGTAACAAAAGGAAATGATTGTAAGTACTGCCTGTAGGATTTTTTGTGAGATTTCTGCCCATAATTCTTTAACACCGAGGAGTTGCAATTACAGTAATCTGTAATTTATTAGGAAACTTGTTTTCAATGTTATTGACAACTTTGAAAAATCGAAAAACATTTTTTCGTGAAACCTCTTAGCTGTATATGATTATATATGCATTATGTGAAAAAGAGACGCGTGTGTTTATAGACGGCCAAAAGTTCAATGGTATTAGAATGTTAGATGTCGACAGGTTCAGTACAAACGTGACTTAACGAGTGGCGCATAAAGAACCGGACTCATTTGTTTTACCTATAACTCAGTCAGTTTTAATCTTATCGATCCAATTTTTTCTCCAAAAGATTCCCCATTCAATTCTCTACGAAACCATGTACTCGTGTTTTTCAGATTCTGCTACAAAAAATTTTTTAATCATGAAAAGTAAAGACCTCCAAAAATTGGTACTTTTCAAGCATCAAAATGGAGAAACACTCAGCAAGATATTTTGGGATTTGAAGGGTACCATTAATCGTACTCGGATTTTTCAATGGTGCAAAATGATCGCCGAGACTGGCTCAACGTCTCCAGGTCGACCCCGTATTATTCGAACAAAAACTACGATTCAAAAAGTTAAAAATCGTTTAAAGCGGAAGAATCGCGTCTCAACTCGAAAACTGGCCAGTGAACTTAAAATTTCAAGAAGAAGTGTGCAGAGAATTTTGAAAAATGATTTAGGATTAACGTCGTACAAGAAAAGAATTGAACCACTACTCACAGACACTCAAAAAGCTAAACGTTCGCAAACTGGGTTCGCAATGTCACAATTTTTCGAAAGAACAATCTTTGATAATTCTTTTTTCTGACGAGAAAATGTTTGATCTCAATGGTATGTACAACCGTCAAAACGATCAAGTCTGGGCTGTGAATCGCGCCGAAGCTGATAAGAATGGCGGCGTTAAACCAAAACAGCAATTTCCACAAAAAGTCATGGTTTGGTTAGGCGTTTGTTCAGAAGGCGTAACTCCTTTGGTTATTTTGGATAATGGCACAGTAAATCATCAACCATATATCGATGAAGTACTTCCTGTGGCTCTAAAGTATGGAAATAACGTGTTTGGAGATAATTGGACATTCCAGCAAGACGGTGCCAAGTCTCAAATTCACCAACTTTCTCAAAAATGATGCAATGATCATTTTCCTGGACTTATTGACAAAGATCATTGGCCCCCGAATACTCCCGACTTGAACCCTTTAGACTACTCTATCTGGGACGAATTTGTTCACCAAGTCAACTGGAACAAAGTTCAGTCAAAGACAACGTTAATTGCAGAGTTGAAGCGAGCTGCGAAATGAATTAGAAAAGAAGTTGTACTGGAAAGTTGTGAGAGTTGGACCAAGAGATTGTATCGTTTGAAAGAAAATAACGGAGATTATTTACATTAATAAAAGAACAGCTATTCATAGAGAATTGAATAGGAAATCTTTTGGAAAAAAATTTGGATCGATAGGGTGGAAACCGGCGGAGTTATAGGCAAAACAAAAAAGTCCGGTTCTTTATGCGCCACCCGTTAGTTACATGTACGATAGCAGGCGTTTCATATTTAGACTTCAGACGATTTATCTCATAATTGTTGTCTTCTCTATTTAGTTATTTATAATCATCCTGTACTATACCAGTTCTTTAGTAGAGAATGTTATCACTATCTACAAATGCTAAAAAAACATACGACTTGGAAATATTATATCCAATATTGATTACATTCATAATTATACAATTATTTATTACGTAGTATAGGGGGTTTTCGAAATTAAGTATAAAACCAGCAATGTATATATAATAAACCCTTATCCATTTTCCATTTACTGTTAAAGCAGTATTTTGAAAAACGGAAGGAGTTGTTGTACTCTAAATGCAAACGGACATGTGTTTAACATAGTTGCAAATGCCAAAACTCTTTTTCTTTTTGTAAAAGCGGTTCTTTTTAAAGTGTAGTATAGTTTTCTATGTAATGGTGTAATAATACCCTAGACAAAAACTTTTCTGCAAATCTGATAAGAATCTTATCTGATTCTTATCAAATTCTTATATGAGATTACGCAGGAAAGTGAATGGAGCTTGATGAGAGTCTTATGAGAATGTGATAAGAAACTCATAAGAGTTTCATAAGGAAGTGATAAGAAGTTCTTATCTATTTCTTATAGATATGTTACAAAATGCTTATTCTTACCGAATTCTGATAAGTTTTTGACATACTTTGTCCTTGCAAGACTTTTCAGAAGAGTTAATTTTAAATTATTCTGGACCACGAGTAATTTAGCGATTCCGTTTTACTCAGCGAAACAGTAAGAAACTCAATGTTTGACTATGAGACATTTATGTTTCATAACGACTTCAAAGTCGTTATGCTCTCGAGAGTGCTCTGTCTTTAGTTGTCGATATACTCAGACAAGGAATTCAAAATCTAAAACTGTAATCAGAATGTAACAGCGATATGATTTTATCATCACAGTCTCACAGTTCGTAATAGCTCAGTGGGTATAAGAGCACGGCATAGCATGCCGTAGGTTCGTATACTAAACGGATCGCACGATTTTTTTCAAATTTTTATTGCACAATTCAGATGCCTAGCGTAGTTTAACTTCTTAAGCATTTTCCAGATCGCTTTACAAAACAAGAATTCCATAAGAAAGTGATAAGAAACAAATAAGACCTTTTTATCACTTCCTTATGAAATTCTCACGACTTTCTTATCTGATTCTTATAAGACTCTTATCAAACTCCATTCACTTTCCAGCGTAATCTTATATAAGAATTTGATAAGAATCAGTGGGCACTTATAGATTCTTAACTGATGCTTATATAAGGATCGACGCCTAGGGCAGAAACTGCAAATATGTTCTTTCTTTATTGCCTACTGTAAATTTTAAAAAATTTTAAGTCTAAATTTTGAAAGTTTAAACAGAAACAGTGTAACATCCGGTGAACAAATCATTTCATTGTGTAGTCAAAAGTCAGCACTTTCGAACTGTATGAATCAGGGCTTTATAAACAGTCGACCGGAAAATCAAAAAACCAAATGATTCCGGTAAGCGATTATTTTGTGTACTGCAAAAAATATATGATGTTCATCAACGTCTTTCTTGTGAAACTTTAAATATGTTAATGATAACTACAAATTTCTTCATATATAAGAAAAGAGGAATCGAATGGAAAAACAGCACATAAGTAAGACATATCAGAAATAATAGTCTAGATAAAGCGAAATTAATGAGTGGGCAAACAATTTTTTATAACTGATCTAAGTGATTCATGTAGAACCATCTATGGTCCATCCATTCTTAAAGAATTTTTAATCATTGACCTTGTTAAAATGCAAAAGTTTTACATTTTATAGTTATAATACATTTTAACCAGTGTCCATCTGAAGGATACCTATCCCAGCACTGTAAAGAACTTTTAGAAAAGGAAACCTAAGAACGTGCAGAACGACTTAAGGTCTACAACTATAATATTAGAAGTAAGTAGAAAAAATATCGACTATCAGGCGATTTAGCAAGCTAACTCAATATACTACTCGATATAGCTAGCTACCACAAGCCGATATTCCTCGATGGCATATTTTTATGGCCAGATATTCTCAAAGGCATTTTTTTGCTTCGGTATCGATTCAAAGGTTTCTTAAAAATGGTATTCACGAAATACGAGAACACCAAAGAATGCTTAAACAGGCTTCTAGAAAATATTTGTTCTGCGAACCCGTGCTGATATTATGGTGCATGTTTAATGAGGAAAATGGTTAGCTAGTAAAGTTGTACGAGATGATTGACTTAAACGACAAACGAGACTTTTCATTAACTTTTAATAATATTTTGAAAGTTTCAATGACGGTTACCGAGAGCATTGCTCACGTGACAAAAGTCTTATTGAAAATGGGATAGTCAACTTTCCCCTTTACACCAATCGCCCAGGCAGTAGCTCTCGAACAGCGCTTGGCGAGCCTCTGACAGTACCAAGTCCGTCGTTAAGTAATCAAGTCCAAGCCCAAGTTGAATCCGGTAAAATTACTTCAATTCGGGTTCGAGTCTCCTTCAAAATTCTCAATAGCAAAAATTCGCTGCAAGCGAAAGATTTTGAATGCATTACCCACTCGCCAAATGTCTCTGTTCTATTGATTTACAAATCATTGTTTCTTTCCGTGGAGAAAAACTGCGTTTTTTCCGAAATCTGATAGAATGTTTCAGATCTTCATAGTCGAGTTCCAGTCCGATCTCGAACCTACAAAAAGTTATGTTCGGGTGTGAGTGAAATAACCAGCCCCGTTAACAACGGTTTGATGTCAAACTCGGACTCTATATCCCTTTTCTTTAGTAGGTGAATTCTTTCAGAAAATGATTTCTCATACTCGAATTGTGTACTCTAACAAAAAAATGTTGAATTTCGAAAAGGAGACGATATTATCATATAATGAACGTTCCTCTTTCAAAAACATTCGTCTTTTCACTTGATCAGAATCTATTGCATTCTATCCTGTCAAACGAGTCTTACAGGTTTTCCTTATCACACAAACTTTTTCCAAATTCACCATGATATTTTAAATAATTATTCAACCTCGCCCTTAACCATCAAACAAGTCACTAAAATGGATTGTTCGGTTTTATTAGAATAATCGCATATTATTTGATTGTTCGAATAACGTATCGGTTCGACAAGAATAATCCATTTTCAATAAAACTTTTCACTCTCCTTAACCCATGTCAGAATTAGTTAAAAGCCGTTTCGTAGAGCTATCGAGCCCTATAACCATAATCAGATCCTAAAACTCGTTTCTAAAAATATAGAAATTCGATTCTCCACATCAAACTGGGTACACCATATACTTTCTAGACTTGGAAAGTATTTTTGAAGTATGAAACAAAGTATGACATTGATAGTTCTACAAGCACCATCAAATTATTGGAGAAACACTCCATTGCTAGTATTTTGACGGTAAATTCTACGAATTCATTTATAATGTCATCGTTTTCCTTCCATTTTCTATTGGCCCTACTCAGTTGCTACTTGTTCTCATTTCTTATGTTAACGAGAAACTGGCATCACCTACGATCATCGTCGATAAACGAATATGTTATATGCCCGACTATAATACTAATGAAAAATGCATGGCTTGAAAGTGAAAGTGAACAAACTGAGTAATTTTATTTTCACAAATATCTTGTATTTTCAATTGACAAACAAACTCAGTGAAATTTTCATTCTTTTCTAAATATCGATCGTTTGGATTAATCATCAAACTACATAAAGACAAGATGCTGTAAAAACTTCTCACAAGCGCATTTTATAGCCTACACATTTTCTTACAATATACGTATGGAAAGAATCAAAAAAAGTCTCAGGATATCGCCAAAATTTGGAAATAATAAGTAACACTAACACTCAAAAATACGCTCCTTGGCTTTAAATATCATTAAGCACAAGAGATTTGTTAAGGAAATTTTTATCAGACACGTATCCTTCTACAGTAACGCTACAGTGAAAGTCTCACCACTAAAAAATATTTTTTATGTATTTTTTCACTGTCTCTGTTTCTTTTTATTTTTCTTCTCTATCTCTCTATCTATGATTCTATGTGAGTGCATGTTTTTAGTGCGTGTATGTATATGTGATAATCAACTTTTCTTTTCGACTGTTCTCAATATATAATGAGCCCGTCCGCTTTGTTGAATCAAATAAACTGTGTCTAGATCATGAATGAAGAAAAGAAAGAAAAACCTTTATAATCGTCAGTTCACTCATTTATGCAGGTTCTTCATTTTCTCACAATAACATGAATTGTTCAAGAATACTTTTGTTTTTTGTATGTACCCTTAATGCATTAGCAGTTATATTTACCATTGTCGCTATTGCTACACTATCATGGATAACACTTTCATCCGGCACCGATGCAAAACAACGTCTAGGTAACTTTGGTTCATTCAGGGTATGTATAAGAGGATGATGATATGACGTCAGCTGCATCTGCAGCATTATCCATCATCGGGTTGATGTTTACATTTATGGCCCTAGTCTCTATAGTTGCTGTGATCGCCGTAAAAAACTACCACGAATACTCAGTTTCATACCAATTATTCTTCTCGTCGCAGCTTATATATTCATTCTCGCCGCCATTCTCCAATACCAGACA